AGAGCACGTTGGTAGCAGTTATAAACGTTCATGAAGCCCCCGTATGGCCCAATATAACAAGGTTGATAGTTTTGTAAATGTTTCCAATTTAGTACGTAAGCAAGTCAGATTCTTTAGCAAGCTTTATGATGCCGAAAGCTGCTGTTGCCCTTCTAGCTGCGGGGTGGGCATCACCTTCAACATTTTAGAAGATTCTTTAAAAAGAATTTTTTTAATCTTTATTTATTTTTGAGAGAGAGAGACACAGAGCGCTAGCAGGGGAGGAACAGAGAGAGAGGAAGACACAGAATCCGAAGCAGCCTTCAGGCTCTGAGTTGTCAGCACAGAGCCCAACGTGGGGCTTGAACCCACAAACCGTGAGATCACGACCTGAGCTGAAGTCAGACACTCAACCAACTGAGCCACCCATGCACACCACCCACGCGCCCCAGAAGATTCTTTTTAAACAGAAATTTATACAGACTTGCATTTTTAAGGCTAGGCTCTAGAATCTCAATTGATAACACTGTAAGCAAAAAGCAGGTCTGTAGGACTCAATATTACTGGGAAAAATGTAATAAAAGGTGAAGAAGATTTTACTTGATAGCAGTGAAATAAAGGCTATCGAGCTTTCCTTTGGTATATTTTTTTTATTTAGCAGTGATCTGGAAGGATATTCTTATCCTTGCCCTCAAGGTTCTCACAGACTTGTGGGGAATCAGGAAGAAGATAAGACTTACATTACAATGTGATAAGCAATATTATCACTGGGTCCCTGCAGGGAACTTTTATACCATTGATAATGGTTTCCATTCACTTGCCCTGTTTTAGAGAGTCAGGCTCTGGATTTTATTTCTGAGATGTTGTCTGGGTTAGGGTCAGAGCCATATGTGGAGCTCCTAGTATTTGTGTCTTGATGATTTTCTTCTACTGCTGGCTTTCCCCATCTACTCCAATACCTGGTCAGGAGGTTGACCCCAGAGTCCGTGTGTTCTAGAAACAGTCTCGAGGCTTCATCTTTTTACTCCCAGGAGTTCCAATTAATGTTCTTACATTGTGATTTTGCTCTTGCTTCCCTACCACAGGCCATAGGCAGGAATAAACCCGCGGCCCACTTCCCTACATCATGTCTGTCAGATTGATAAGACTTTCAGAACCATTATCCAGGGGCTTACAAAATCCAGGTTTTCTAAGCAGGTGACTATTTTTGGGAGGAAGGTCAGAGCTGGGTTGCCAGTCTCTGCAAAGGGAATAAAAGGCAGACGGATGGAAGGTTTTGAAGTAGCATCTTACTCCAAAGAGAGAAAATGGGCACGGAGACGCTAATCTGGAATTAGAGATTGGAACGTCACTTGGGAGCAGAGGCTGTCCTGGAGGATATAGATAGTTCTAGGAGGTCCATGAAATGCTGGGGAGGGTAAAGTGTAGGGAAAAGGAAGGAGAAGACCTTGGAAAAGCCTCCAGGGCTATAACCCTGGCTGCTACTAGAGTCACTTGGAGAGTGCTTAAAACTCTAGTCCCCAGGCCGCACTCTGGAGCATCTTAGTTTTTTAAAGTTCCCCAGGTCATTTTCATGTGCAACCAAGGTGGAGGCCCAAAGCTCAATAAATGAATTCATAGTGAAAGAAAACCTAGCAAGGGAGTGGTCATTCTTGGTGACTATTAAGTCCGGTGTGAATCCCATTCAGGTTTTTACCTTACTGCCTCCATCCAGTGGGAATACTGAAGGTGTTTCGAGAGAAAATTCCTGAAAACTCTAAAATTCCCTTCTCTTCCCCAAAGGAAAGAACTACTGACTAATATCTCTTGGGAATGTAGATGTAAAATTCCTCCACAAAATACTAGCAAACTGAATTCGGCAACATACCAAGAAGATAGACACCATAACTGAGATTATGCAAGTTTGGTAGAACACCCTCAAATAAATTAAGGTAATATTCTGTATTAATAAAGGACAGAAATAATGTGATCTTATCCTTGTACCCAGAAAAGGCAGTTAGCAAAATCTAACAGCTGCCGATGATAAAAAGTCTCTTAAAAAAACTGGCAACCAAGGGCGCCTGGGTGGCTCAGTCGGTTGAGCGTCCAACTTCGGCTTAGGTCACGATCTCACGGTTCGTGAGTTCGAGCCCCACGTCGGGCTCTGTGCTGACAGCCAGCTCAGAGCCTGGAGACTGCTTAGGATTCTGTGTCTCCCTCTCTCCCTGCCCCTCCCCTGCTTATGCTCTGTTTCCCTCTGTCTCAATAATAAATAAAACATAAAAAAATAATTAACAACCAAAGAGAACTTCTTCACCCTGAAAAAGTGCACCTGCAAACACCCTACAACTGACAGCATGTTTGATGAAGAAATACTAGATAAGGAGCAAGGCACGGATGTCCACTCTCATCACATCTATACGTATATGCAGAAAAATCAAAGGAATCCACAAACACACACTTTCAAAAACTATCAAAATAGGGACACCTGGGTGGTTCAGTCGGCTAAGCGTCCAACTTCAGCTCAGGTCATTGATCTCATGGTTCATGGGTTTGAGCCCTTTGTTGGGCTCTGTGCTGACAGCTCAGAGCCTGGGGCCTGCTTCCCATTCTGTGCGTCCCTCTCTCTCTGCCCCTCTCCCACACACGCTCTGTCTCTCTCTCTCTCTCTTTCTCTCTCTCTCTTTCAGAAATAAAACATTAAAAAATTTTTTTAAGTGAAAAAACTATCAGAATTAGTAAATACATCCAGCAAGGTTGCAGGATACAAGTCAAATGTACAAAAAAAAAATCAACTGTATTTTTATATGTTAGAAATAAGCTATTGGGAAATGAAAACCAAGAAAGCAATTCCATTCCTAATAGCATAAAAATACTTGAAACTAAAATTAATGAAAAAGGAAGACTACAAAACATTGCAAAAGTATATTCAAGGTTAAGCAAATGAGAGGCGCCTGGGTGGCTCAGTCAGTTAAGTGGTTAAGTGCGGGACTTCGCTTCAGGTCATGATCTCTTGGCTTGCCTGTGAATTTGAGCCCCCCTCAATCTCTGTGCTGACAGCTTGGAGCCTGGAGCCTGTTTCAAATTCCTTGTCTCTCTCTCTTTCTCTGCCCTTCTCCCACTCACACTCTGTTCCTCTCTGCCTCTCGAAAATTAATAACATTAAAAAATTGTTAAATATGCATGCAAATGAAAAGACATTCTCTGTCTTTGGAATGGAAAATTCTAGTATTAAGGTGACAGTCTTTGCCAAATTGATCTATACATTAAACAAAATCCTTCTTGAAATGCTAGGAGGCATTTTGTATACATTGATAAGGTGATCCTAAAATGTATATGGAATAGCAAAAGATCCAGAATAGCCAAAATAGCATTGAAAACGATCAGAACTGGTTAAACAGAATGCTGTGTGCCCATTTAATGGAGCACTGATCCATGCTACGTCCTGGATGAATCTCAAAAACATTATGCTAACTGAAAGAAGCCAGACATAGAGACCACATGTTATGATTCCATTAATATGAAATGTCCAGAAAAGACAAATCTATAGAGAGAGAAAGTAGCCTAGTGGTAACTTGGGACTGGGGGTGGTGGGAGAGGTGGGGGTGTGAGTGGGGGAAAGGTAGAAGAAAAAAGCTGAATGACAGCTAAGGGGGACAGGGTGGCCTGGGGTTAGGAGATGGAAAAGGCTGCACAGATGTGAGGACCCTCTTTGGATGTTTAGACCAATCCATGTTCTCACTTGATGGCGGTGATGGTTAAACACACTTTGTGAATCTGTATATCAGAAAAGAAACCGGTGAAAAATCCCCTTTTACTTCTGTTGAGTTTTTTGCCCAAGCAAATGTCTATCCTCTACCAGGGAAGCGGAGCTAGGACCTGGGAATGAGATACAGCCTCGAGGAAGTTAGACTTCGTGGGCAAATTGTCACAAAGTTCGCATCCGTGACAAAGCCACTGTGAGGTTGATGGGTCAGTGGGGTGGTTTGATCGTCTAAAGTGGCTCTGACCTTCCTTTCTCAGGGAGGAATCAGGGAGCAGAACTTCTTGCCAGGACCCCTCTCGGACAAACAGGGATAGATCTACCCTCTTAATAAATTTTTAAGTGCACAATACCGAACTGGGTACACACAGGCACACACACACGGTCTCCTCCCCAGGCCTCTTTGAAGAGAAAGAATATCAATCAGCATTCTGGGTCCAATCAAGAGATGGAAACACACAGTAGGTTAAATGGGGACATTTACTATAGAATTATTAAACTATGTAAGAGTAACTACAATATATGAAGAAACTCCGGGCGCCTGGGTGACTCAGTCAGTTAAGTGTCTGACTTGATCTCATGGTTCATGGGTTTGAGCCCTCCATCAAGCTCTCTGTTGTCAGCACGAAGCCTGCCTCGGATCCTCTGTCCCTCTCATCCTCTGCCTCTCTCGCTCTCTTTCCCTCTTCTCTCTCTAAAAACTAAATAAACATTAAAAAAAAAAAACGATATGAAGAGGGGCACAGAACTTATCTAGACGGTGCATTTGGAGCCAAGTGACAATACATTGATTGCTGGCGCAGTTAGCCCCTATGGCGTTAATAATGAGGGTGGCAATTAGCCTCCGTGGCTTTATTTTTTTTTTAATGTCTTATTTATTTTTGAGAGAGAGAGAGAGAGAGACAGCATGAGCAAGGGAGGGTCAGAGAGAGAGGGAGACACAGAATCCGAAGCAGGCTCCAGGCTCTGAGCTAGCTGTCAGCACAGAGCCCGACACGGGGCTCGAACCCATGAACCATGAGATCATGACCTGAGCCGAAGTCGGACGCTTAACCGACTGAGCCACCCAGGCGCCCCAACCTCTGTGGCTTTAATAACGAGGGTGACAGCAGGAGGGGGGGCAAGTCCTTTGGTCTCGTGAGTGGAGAGGGCTTCTTGTGGCCCCGATTTCTGTAAAGTGATGAAATCCAGTGTCTTTAGGCTGAGCCGCAGCCCATCTCCAAACAGGCCCCTTGGACACATGCAGTTTCTTTATTTGATCTTATTTCTTCCGTCATAGAGCAAACCAAGACCCAGGCCTGGAGACCTGATTGAGATTTTTCGCATCGGCTATGAGCACTGGGCCATCTATGTGGAAGACGACTGTGTGGTCCACCTGGCCCCCCCGAGTAAGAGCGGGTACTCTCTTGGAATATTGATTTTGATATTGAAGTTAGCGGAGTGAAAAGTGCAGTTAGTTATTATGTTCCTTAGCTGCCGCCTTTCATGAGCGGTAGAACTCTTTTTTTTTTTTAATGTTTTATTTATTTCTAGGAGAGACAGAGAGACAGCAGGGGAGGGTCAGAGAGAGAGGGAGTCACAGACTGAAACAGGCTCCAGGCTCTGAGCTGGCAGTCAGCACAGAGCCCGACGCGGGGCTCGAACCCACCAACCGCGAGATCATGACCTAAGCGAAAGTCGGACGCTTAACCGACTAAGCCACCCAGGCGCCCCATGAGCGATAGAACTCTTAAAGCTTTTCGGGGCCTTAACTGAACTGGGTGATGGCGCCTGATCTCTGTCTACCAAAACCCACTGAGTGTTCAGCCCAAAGGGAGACGGAAGGTCAGAAAGTGTTCCTGTTCCCTGAACCTCAGTGGCCTTCCTCATATTTCTGAGGGCTCCCCGGGAGGGGTGCAGAGGCTTACACGTTCCGACCGTCCCTCGTTGCCTGCTGTCCCCAGAGGCTGCTTCCGGCTCCCCCATCACTGGGGCACCTCCGCCCGCCCTTGTCTCCTGCTCTTTCCCCCTGTCCTGGGCCGCTCGGCCACATTGTGGACTTAGCCCTTCTTTCTTTACTCAACATCGCCTGACACAAAGGCTGGGATTAAATTGGCAGCTAAATTAAAAGTTAGTGGAGATCTGATGGGAGGAAGTGGTGATAGAAGATTACCGCAGAGAACAGGAAATTGACTCGGTTAACCGGGGGCGCCTCGGGCGAAGGGACCTGGGGGAGCCGGGAGAATGGGCGTATTCTTTGATGCCTTTGGAGTTTTGGATCTTGTGCAAGGTCTGCCCGTTCAGGATGAAATTACAGAAGGGCACTGGGATCTTGCTCACGGCTCTCACTGCCCGGGGCTCCAGCCTCCTCCTTGGGTCCAGCCTCTCATCTGCCCGGAACTTTCTGCCCGGACATTCCAGCAGGGCAGAGACCCTCTCCCCTGCCCTGCCTACACCCTGACAAGGTAAAAAGTGCTCCACATCACATTTACCCCCTCCACCTCTCCTTTCCACACTGAGTCCGAGAGCCTCCCTGTTGTATCAGCAGAGAGATCGCTAACCATTATGTCCCTCCCCTCCCCATCGGATCATCTTCTAAAAATGACTTCTGTTCCTCAGAGCTGAACTCCCTGCTGCCAGCTCTTGTAACATCAACAGATACTCTTCGAATACGTAAGAACAGAACAGGGACACTTCTCGTTCTCAGACAGCTTTCAGACGGGGAGGGTACCCACCTTGGCTTATCCATATGGGCGTGGTAGAAAAAACAGTCTTAGGGTGTTTAGCACACGTTTGCGAAGATGCTCAAGTCTAGTTAGGAAAGCAAGACTCAAACTCTAGGACTCGGTCAGGTCAATACAACACCGAATGGAGTCCGGGGCCGTGACATAAGGTTCGTCTAGAGTTTTATAAGAGAGAGATTGCTGGGGGGGCTGACAGTGGGGAGTGCAGTACAGAGTAGAAGTCGTCAAGGGCGAGTTGGTTCTGGGTGGCTCATTTCATCTCCCATCCTCTGCCAGGCCTTTTTATTTTTATTCTTTTTGAAGTGTATTTATTTATTTTGAGAGACAGACAGAGCATGAGTGAGGGAGGGGGAGAGAGAGAGAGGGGGAGAGAGAGAGAGGGAGAGAGAGAATCCCAAGCAGGCTCTGCCCTGTCAGTGCAGAGCCCCAGGCAGGGCTCGAACTCACCAACTGTGAGATCCAAGAGTCGATGCCTAACCAACCGAGCTACCCAGGTGCCACCGCCATGCCTTTTATAGATGGTGAAGCCGAGGCCTCGCAGAGGGCAGCAGCTTGACCAACATCTTGGACTGAGCCAGTGCTCTGCGCCCCGCACCCCCGCGCCCCCCAATGGCTGTCCTTTGCAGCTTTCCAGCTTCCGTTCATCTTGGTCTGTAGGTGAGGAATTTGAGGCCGGCAGCATCACCTCAGTCTTCAGCAATCGGGCCCTCGTGAAATATAGTCGCCTGGAGGACGTGCTTCACGGCTGCTCCTGGAAGGTCAACAATAAGCTGGACGGGACGTACCTGCCCCTGCCCGTGGACAGGATCATCCAGCGCACGAAGAAGATGATCAACAAGATAGTGCAGTACAGCCTGATTGACGGGAACTGCGAGCACTTTGTCAATGACCTCAGATACGGTGTGTCCAGAAGCCAGCAGGTAGGGTACCTTTGGCTCTGCCGGGGGGCTTCTCGCTCAGCTCTCCTGGGGCCTTGTCACCCCAGTCACCGGTCAGAATGGTCGACAGTGGTTTTATATTTGTTGTCTGACGGGGCTTCTACTTCTACGGGACCTTACGGTCCGGGAGGTATTTTCACCTCTGTTAACACACGGAGGTCTGCAGAGCCAGGACCCTGGGCCAAGTCCCATGTTGGCCGTCCGTGAGTCTCCTTGGGCAAACCATTTTAATTTCTTTTTATTTTTTTAATGTTTATTTATTTTTGAGGCAGGCAGAGACAGAGCATGAGCAGGGGAGGGGCGGAGAGAGAGCAGGAGACACAGAATGGGAAGCAGGCTCCAGGCTCTGAGCTGTCAGCACAGAGCCTGATGCGGGACTCGAACTCATGATCCGTGAGATCATGACCTGAGCCGAAGTCAGACGCTTAACTGACTGAGCCACCCAGGTGCCCCAACCAACATTGAAACATGTAGAGATTTTATATAAAACAATTTGGTTTCACAACATCTCTGGAACAACTAATTGATCAGGCCATCAGGCCCCATGTCCCTACTTGCCGACGCCCTGTGGGGCCAAGTAGGGGCTGCCTCTTTAGATGGGGGGTGGGGGTGGGTAGGTAGGCCACTTCCGGTCTCACTAGCATTATCAGCCTGGCCGGTGGTGCTGTGTTTGGGTTTGTGACTCCCCACCACATGGGGTGGTAGAAATCTCAAGAGCCACAGCTCGTGTCTTCAAGAGCTTTGAAAATCTATCTGTGACAACTTGAGTGCCCCTTGTTCATATTTGATCCTTACGAACACCCCATGAGATGAGCAGAGGATGTGTTTATTATCCCCTTTTTCATAGATTACTCAATAAATAAAAATAAAGGTGAACTGTGATAAAAACAACAAAAAGAACTCAAGAATTAAAGGCAGGACATCATTTTTTCCGCCTTTGTCCTATATATTTTTTTGTTCTCTCTGGCCCCTGGGCTCCAATCCCAGGCTCTCGACTATTGCTGGGTGTGAGCAGGTCCCCCCGCGCCCCGGCCCCCGCCCCCCTCTGCTCTTCCCACCTTCCTCCTTTGTACTCTGTTCACTCCCAGCCTGTACGCCATTCTTGGGAGGCCTCCCTCCAGGGCCGAGGGCTTGGGGGTTCTGGTGTGAGGGACCTCCTGTCCCGTGAGCCTTTGTATATGAAAAGAAGACCCCAAGGATCACATGGATTACAAGGGGCCTTCTATGGAGTAAGGGCCAAGCTTAGACGCTAAGTCACTTCGTGACTTTCTCCAAGTGAGTTTCGTCCAAGCGGGTCCCCTTCCTTGGCTCTCAGATTCCTGTGGTCCCGCCACGCTGACATCCTTTGCCTCTGAGCCTTACACTAGAGGCAGACCCTGAGCTGAATGGGCTCTCAGGGAAGAAGGGAGTCAGGAGCCGTGGATGCCCGTGGGGAAAAGGGAGAGCGTCCGCCTCGGACATCCGTCTCTGGCCAGCCTGACTTCTCTCGGTCCTAAGGAAATGTAGGCTAGCCGGGCTGCTTCCTTCTCTAGGAAAAGACTCCAGGCAGGCCGGTTCCTGAAGGGGAGGGGTGAGGTGTAGGGGTGGGACAGGCCAGAAGCTCTGAGTGTCCTGTGAAACCCTCTGCTGTGCAGGTAGAGCACGCCCTGATGGAAGGAGCCAAGGCTGCTGGCGTCGTTATTTCGGCTGTGGTGGAGAGCATAAGTCCCAAGCCTGTAACCGCCTGAAGGCGCTGGAAAATTCCAGGCAGAGGAAGAGCGGCCGCCCCCAGCAAGGACAACGTGCCCCCTTCTCTCCCCTCGCCTTCTCTCTCCATAGCCCCACACGAGAAAATTGTGAGCTTCTGGAAAAATCTAGAATGTACCCCATTACCTCTCCAGAAATACATCCAATATATGTGATCATAGATCCATGGACTCTCGGGGTGAGAAGACACCTAATAACTTATTATGCCTCCCCTAGGCGCCAGGCACCATGCTAGGCATTTCATACACTCGTTTCATTTTAGTCTCTGTGGGAAGGGTCTTGCTTGTTTCTGAGGCCGACTGATCTGTGATGCTTGAATACCACCTAACGCGTCCTGGAAACCCCTCTTTGAACATTCCCAGTAACAAAGAACTCTTTGGAAGTTCTTTTTCTTGAGCTGAAATCACTCCGGATTTTGCATTCATGCAAATCCTGCTCTTTCTGATCCGAAATGCTGTGCTTTAAGGAAGCTCGTGACTTACTATTCAGGGTCCTCTGTGCCTTAATCCCAGAAAATCTTTCCTGGATTTTTAAAAACCGTGCATCAGCCTTATTCTCTGTTGTTTAAACCCCCTACTTTATTTTATTTGCTTTAAAGTTTTTATTTATTTTTATTTTTGAGAGAGAGAGCACGCGGGGGAGGGGCAGAGAGAGAAGGGGAGAGAGGCAGAGAACCCCATGTGGGGCTTGAACTCATGAAGTGTGAGATCACCACCTGAGCTGAAGGCAGACGCTTAACCGAGCGAGCCCCCCAGGCGCCCTCAACCCCCCATACTTTAATCAACATGACCGTTTACTTTCCTTTTTTGCCACCTTATTGTTACCAGGATATATGAAATCATTATTTTCACTGATTTCAGATGAATATTTAAAATGATTTACTCAGTGGACTTCTGCGTGAACAAGGGAGGGAAGCAGTGATTTTTGTGTGCTGTTGTTGCTGTGATAGAAAATCTAAAATTAGGACCAGGGTGGTCGGTGCCCGTTGAGAGCAGAAGCCATCCAGTCTAGAAAAGGGCTCCGGGAAAGGCTAGGAGCTCCGAACTGTGTGGGGGAGGGCAGGGCGGAGCCCCCAAAGCATTTCACGGAAGATCTGTCAGGATCTCCCATGAGCCCTTCTCCTGTTTGGAGAAAGTAGACCTTCAGTGAAGCTCTTCCATTCCGTTTGCTTCCGTTCTTTTCTTGGCGATCCAAACTTGACTGCACCCTCCTATTTCCTAGATGCTGGAGTCTGGGTGTGCATCTCTGTCTTCCATCCGCACTGCCCGCTGGCCTCTCTTTACTTTGTATGTCATTTCCAGGTGTCGGTGGAAAGAGCATATGCCTTCACTTCTGTGAATCCTGAGGAGCATGAAGCCATTGCCTCTCATCCCTCCGATCATCTCCCTTTTACCCCCTCCCCCAAAATCCGCTGAGCTCCTGATACCTCTCCCTTCAGTCTCCTTATTCAATATTTTGGTCTAGGTTGAGACTTCCTTTGAAGTAGAGCCCAACCACCCGGAATTTATATTTTAGAGTATATTCCTTTTAGTCTTTGATTAATTTGGTCATCTATTAGTGAACCTTTTGATTCTGAAGATGACTTTGAACTCCCTGGCCATTTCCATCATGACTCAAATAAATGAGATCTTGTTTGGTCATCAGACAAACAACAACTCCCCCCCTCCCCCAACCAGGGAGTGTTTTAGTAACTTCTAAACCAAGGGCTCATCCATCTAGTGCTTATGCGGGGACAGAAAGACACGTTCTGGTTTCTTTCTGGTTCCACCCAATGGGGCAGAGGGCCTTAAGTGCATATCGGGGCTTATGTTCATTCATTCATCCAACAAATGTTTCTGAGTGTCTACCACGTTCCATGCCCTGGCTCCCCCCATCCCTGCTTGAACCCGTGAGCACCAGTCGGGGACGGCAACGAGAAGCTGAGTCAGTCGGAAGGACATCAGGCACGGTGGAGCATGGGACAGACACCCTCTGCCGGACGGCCATCTTCTCCTGCTTCCCAGCTGTCTGTAAAGCCGGGGGGTCTCAAATGCACACCCCACACCCTGCAGATGTGGGGGCAGAGCTTCTTGAAGTGCCGTTCAAAACCCTGGAGCAGTGTCTGCGTTCTCGGGTAAAAACTGAAATCTCTGCTTTGAGTGGAGACCCCGGGGTGAGCCTTCTTACCTGGTAGGTATGAGGCACATCCCCACCATTGTGGGAAATCCAAAGGGAAAGTAACGGAAATGGAAATGTTTCTGAGATGTTACACCCGGAGCTCTCATTTGTGTGCTTATTTTTTCGTGTTTATTCCTTTTCACTTTGGGGGGATGGGCGAGTGGGCTCAGTGGTGGTCTTGGTTCACTGGGCGAATCACAGGGAAAGTCGGAGAACTTGAATGTGCTGTGTTCCTTCATGGCCGGGACGGGGGGGGGGGGGGGGGGGGGGGGGGGGGGGGGGGGGGGGCGGTGCTCAGTGGCAGAACGCATGAGTTGACAGGTGCTGCACACCATCCAGGTGTGTGGCTTACTGCTTGAGAGGCTAAATTCAGGAAAATTTCAGAAATACGTCCTGCCCAGATTAAGTAGGGTTGGTAAAGGGATCTGGTTTCGCTGATTCGCTGACCGGGAGCGGGACATAGGGAGTAGAAAACACATGAGCCAGGGATGCCAGTTGAATAAAGAGAAGGAAGTCCTCTGCTCAGGCAGCAGGCCAGGGGCTGAGGGGGGAAATGGACAGAGGGGAGTCCCCTGGGACGCCAGGAGTAGAGATAAGCTGCCCCCCAGTTCCTGGTTTGAAGTGTTTGTCTAAGGCTTATAATCCCCTTTCGTTATTCTCAAGTCTTGTCTGGAGAAGGGGAATGAAGGAGCCAGCACACGCGCTGTCGTACCCAAGAGAGCTGCGAGGAAAGAGAGCACTGCTCAGGGGTTCCCTGTCCATGTCCTCTGGACAACCTTGGGAGAGAACTGGATGTCCTGAGCTCATGCAGGAGAGGGGCGCTTGGTCAAAAGAGTAGCATTTGGGGGCGCCTGGGTGGCTCAGTCAATTGAGCATCTGACTCTTGATTTTCGCTCGGGTCATGACCCTAGGATCGTGAGACTGAGCCCCGCATCGGGCTCCGTGGTGGGTATGGAGCCTGTTTGATTCTCTCCATCTCAAAAAGCCTAACATTTTTTATGGAAATGTATATATTTTTGATTTTTAAAAAATTTATATTTTTAGGGGCACCTGGGTGGCTCAGTCAGTTAAGCGTCCAACTTTGACTCAGGTCATGATCTCATGGTTCGTGGGTTCGAGCCCCGCGTTGGGCTCTGCAGACAGCTCAGAGCCTGGAGCCTGTCTTCGGATTCTGTATCTCCCTGTCTCCCTGACCCTCCTCTGCTCAACATGTCCTTCTCTGTCTCTAAAAAAAAAAAAAAAAAGATTAAAAAAGTTTATATTTTTAGTTCAAATATAATTATACAGCGTTATATTAGTTTCAGGTGTACAGTATAGTGAGTCGACAATTGTACACGTTAGTCAGTGCTGATCATGAGATGTGTACTCTTAATCCCCGTCACCTATTTCACCTACTCCTCACCCGCCTCCCTGCCGGGAACCACCAGTTTGTTCTCTACGCTTGGTTTCTCTCTCTTTCTCTCTTCCCTTTGCTCGCTTATTTTGCTTCTTAAATTCCACACACAAGTGAAATCATATGGTATGTGTCTTTCTCTGACTGACTCTTTTTACTTAACATTATAGCTCCATCCATGTTGTGGCAAATGGCAAGATTTCGTTCTTTTTTATGGATTATTTTTAATTTTTTGTGGAAGCTCCAAACTGTTTCCCACAGTGGCTGCTTCGGCTTGTATTCCCACCAACAGTGCATGAGGCTTCCAAAAACAGTAAGATTTTTTTTTTGAGTGTTTATTCATTTTTGAGAGAGAGAGAGACAGAGTGTGAGCAGGTGGGGGCAGAGAGAGACAGAGACGCAGAATAAGAAGCAGGCCCCAGGCTCTGAGGTGTCAGCACAGAGCCCGACGTGGGGCTTGAACCCCCCAACCGTGAGATCATGACCTGAGCTGATGTCGGACGCTCATCCGACTGAGCCACCCAGGCGCCCCTAAAAATAGTAAGATTTTAAAGGGAAGGATGACGTCTGAATATGTAGGACTTGAATGCGTATAATCACACATGGTCCAGCACAGTGTAGGGGGAGTGGGGATTGAACACTGCTTTCTGATGGTCATAGAGCCTTTTGACCTCCATACTGTTCCTACCAGAACTTCTTTTGTCCCTTTAGCAGAACAAATAAATGGTTATACAAATTCCGAGAAGGCTATTTGAGCCGCCTAAGGTTCCATTCTCTCAAAGTTTCTGTTCCCAGTGCTGTCGAAGCCAATTGTTGGCTAAGCCGACTCTTTATTTTTTAATTTTTTAAAAATATAATTTATTGGGGGTGGGGGCGCCTGAGTGGCTCAGTCGGTTAAGTGGCTGACTTCGGCTCAGGTCATAATCTCGCAGTCTGTGAGTTCGAGCACCATGTCGGGCTCTGGGCTGACAGCTTGGAGCCTGGAGCTTGCTTCAGATTCTGTGTCTCCCTCTCTCTCTGCTCCTCCCTGACTCACTCTGTCTCTCTCTCAAAATTAAATAAATGTTAAAAGATAATAATAAAAGTAATAATTTATTATCAAATTGGTTTCCATATAACACACAGTGCTCATCCCAACAAGTGCTCTCCCCAATGCCCATCACCCACTTTCGCCTCTCCGCCGCCCCCATCAACCCTCAGTGTGCTCTCTGTATTTAAGAGTCTCTTATGGTTTGCCTCCCTCCCTCTCAGTAACCTTTTTTCCCCCTCCTCCACCCCCGTGGTCCTCTAAGCAGAATCTTTAAAGAGAAGGCAACTTATTTTTGAACCCTGTGCTGCTTCCTGACACAGAGGAAGTGGTTTGGGCTTTTTTGCTTGATTCTGGTGGTTTTTGTTTTTTAAGAAATATTTTGGTAACTCAGATTATCCCGTTTGCCAGGTTAAAAATAAAAGATCAGCTTTTATATTTGTTTTCAGACAGATGGCTTCAGGTTCAGCTCCAGAGTTGAAGCTTATTTGAGTTTATAGCGGTGGGGGTGATGCTTTGTCAAGGAATCATTTGGAGGTGCTCCTGCTTCCAAAGAAGGGCTTTTGAAAAAAGCAACTGAGCCCACAGCTCCCCTGTC